CCTGTCATGAAAAAGAAAAAAAAAGAATCAGCCACTGGGTACTCCATGCAAGTTCTCCATTAAAGAATTTGAATGGGCCGGGCGGTGGTGGCGCACGCCTTTAATCCCAGCACTCGGGAGGCAGAGCCAGGCGGATCTCTGTGAGTTCGAGGCCAGCCTGGGCTACAGAGTGAGTTCCAGGACAGACTCCAAAGCTACACAGAGGAAACCGTCTTGAAAAAAAAAAGAAAAAAGAATTTGAATGGACAGCATCACTCCAGGCTTGCTTCCCAAGACCTCTGGCCCTCTCTCATCTCCCTAACACTGGCTACACTTTCCTAACAAGATCTCTTCCAGCTACAGCATTTGCCTATAGATTCAATCCCAATTCCCTGAACTGTCACCACAGTGACATCTTTTGTCCTCGGTGGTCTAGACCACCTGCACAGTCAGGTATGGTGACCTGACTGGCTATGGTCACTGGAACATGTAGAAGACACAAGCTAGAGCCAAACCCTTCAATGGGCCAAGAGATAAAATCACAGTTGTGACCCCAGACCAAGAAAGCCAGGCCAGCAAAACTAACCCCTCAAGAAAGCAGCAGTTGGAATGACATGAGAGGAATAATCGTAACTTATTTATGCTACTGTATTAGGGTCTCTATGGCACATGAACCTAAAGATCACGGTGTACCTCTCTGGTATCTGCAGTGTAGGAATGGAACTATGGGACAGGTGGCCACCTGTTCCTCTCCACTGGCACACTCTGTGGGTCCCTAAGGATCACCACTGTCTTGGTCTTTGTTCACAACCTCAACACTAGAGAACGGGTGAGTGCAAAGTTAAGGGCACATGAAGCAACATCTAACAAGAGTGAGCGAACGGACACTTAGGCCTGTCATCAAGCAGGGAGTGCGGTGTGCAGTATGTGGCACCAAGATTCCCAAAAGCACTCTTACATAATCGGGTGAACTGTAGTCCATCATCTCTGCAAAGAGCTGAAAACCTTCCTGGCGCTCTTACCTCATCCTTTAGCTGAGCCAAGAAGAGTGGCAAGAGGTGTTCGATGGTGTTGTCTTTGCCCAGAATGGGAGAGAGGCCCATGATGACTGAAGCCAGCGCTGACTTGACGTGCTGGTTGGCATCTGACACGAGCTCCTGGGGAGGAGAAGAAAGGAAGTAGGCCAGGGTCAGAAAAACCCCTTCAGTGGCAAGTGGCTACAGAGACCTCAGCCCTGATGCCTAAGGAGATCACAATCCTACTTTTAACAGTCAGAGCAGCTCAGGCATGCACTGCACTTATTCACAAGGCCTCCCTTGTTTATTATGTGAGTCCTCCTTCCAGCAGCCACTGCCCCATTCTCCAAGCTCCGTGGGTGAGGGAACTCAGTGGCCTCTGAGGGGTAAACACATCCCTTAGATCTTAGGGTCAGCTGTAACCCTCAGATTTTGCCTACAGCCAAACCCATGACTGTTAAACCCAGTTACTATGTGTGTCCCAAAAGGACCCAAACCTAGCTTGGATCTGATGGTACTCAAAACCAAATCTTCACCCCTCGGTGGCAGTCTCAAATCCTACAACCAAGCACTCCATTACCTTGATGCAGGGCAAGATCTGGGTCATGATCACATTCTCCCGGCAGTCAGCTGAGAGATTTTCACAGAATTCTGTGGGCAAAGACAGGAAGGTGCTGTTGAGACTTGACAGCCGGGTCCCATTTTTGCCTCGCAGACATCCACCCACCTAGCTGTATTCTGGTTGCCAGCACCAACCTTTGACCTTGTGGGAGGCTGCGGCCCTCACCTCAGCCTCACAGTCCTTCATCAGGTTCTGGAAGGCGGGTACCAGGTCTGTCTTGGTGATCTCAGGCCCCACTGCTTTCTGGAGCTGTACAAAGAGAAGAGGGGCAGCACTGAGAGGCTGGCAGCCACTCAGTGCTAATGAGGCAAAAATTGAGGTGAAGGCACTAGAATGAAGCTAAGACACAGCACCGGGAACCTCATCCCAGGACCACAACACAACCCCCAGTGAAGTCGTCGTCACCTTGCTGAACTCTTGCTTCCTCAGAAACAGAAGGAAGGCTCTAGGACATCTAACATAGTATGCTTTCCATTTACTGTTCAGGTTACTTGGGGTTGGATTCCATTACCTAAACATAGTAAGTGGCTCCCACTTTCATCTGACATGAAAATATAAGCATATTGATATTTTATTTAATTGGCTACAAGGAGGTATCATTTTTGTAATTACAAATGAAATGAGTAAAGAGGAAGACATATGAGCCCTGCCGGTCTCAAGGATCCAGGAGAAGAAGGTATGTGGGTCTGCTTTAACCTGCCTAGAAGACCAGCTGGAAGCTCTACTACTAAGAGAATAAGTAAGTAAAAATCTTGCAGGGCCTCACATTATCTTGGGCACACATTACCTTTTATTTAAGAACATGTTTGTGGTCTGCTGTGGGCAGATTGTTATTTCCATAACACAAGGGTCCCATCTTCCAAGGCCTAGTGTAAGCCTACTTCCCGGTAAGACAGAAGGAGCAGGAGACTGACTCTCTTGCCTTTACAGTGGTTCTAAGCCCTTCAGGCACATAGATTTCAGCATGGCCAAGTGTCAACTTCATATGCCCATGAAACAGCCCTTAGGGCTGAGCCTTCCAGCAGACCCCAGTAATCATCATCACAAGGGGGTGCTCCTGTACATCACTTCTGCCCCTTCTCTCAATGAATCCCAGGATCCCGCTGCTCATTCTGTTTCTCACCTCCTACATCCTCTGCACAGGCTGTCTTCTTGTTGGGACACAGTTCCTATCTAGATGCCACTTCCTCATCCTCAACCAGCTGGAGCACGGCCTCCTCCTTTCAATGCCATGAGGCACAGAGAATAGCACACTCCATCAGTACTTTCTATTGAGGCTGACCTTTAGCCTGCTCCTTGCAGGCAAGGTATGTGTGTAATTCATTGACTGCAGTACCTCCACCAAAGGCACTGTTAATAACTATGGGCCTGGGAACATAGCACAGCAGTAGAGCGTCTGCGTAGCATGGGTTAAACCTTGGGATCAACTCTCAGCACCGGGGTGGGGTTGGGGTCATGCTGTCAGGTAAGGAAATTTTGATCTTGTCCCTGCTCTGTCTATCTTATGGCATGGCTCTGACAACTAGCTGTTGGACTATGTTTTTCTTAAGGAAGTTGTGAGGTCAGGGAACATGCTTTCATGGAGCTGGAACTTGGCTTCACAATCATTCTTATCTTAGCACTCTCAGGTGCCAATCATGTATCCAGGGCTGGCTCTTCAAGATCAAAGGAATGCTCATTAAGACTGAGGACTGCGACTGCTTTAATAAAGCATGCCAACTCCCACATGTGTCTCATCCTCCCCTCAGAGAACCTCGTACCAACTTACCTCTGTGAACTTGTCAGCCACCATATAGCGGACACGCCAAGACTTATCCTCAGCAGCTTGGCGCAAGGTGGGCATCACTAAGGCCTCCAGGTCCTCCTGGGGCAGAAGCTGAGCGATGTTCACACATGCCTCCACTGCCAGCAGCCGCACCGAGTCCTGGGGAGAACAGGGGTAGGGTGGGGAAGCAGAGGCCCCCTAAGCTCTGAGGGTCCCTTGCCTGCGCAAGTAAGGGCATGGTGAGAGCCAGGGACTGACTCACCTGCTCGTCAGAGGCCAGGTTAGAGAACATGGGAATGATCTCACTCTTGACATTGTCCAGCTCCAGCACCTTGGCAAACTCCCCCAGCTTGGAGGCTGCGGCCCGCCGCACCATGGGGGTGTCGTCTGAGCACAGGTTCCGGAAGTACCTGGGATAGATGGAGGCCTGGGCTTAGGATCCTGGGAAACCCTAGCAGCCGGCAGCCCAGCATAGCACAGAGCACTGCTGGTTCTGCTGGAAACTCTGTTGCCAACAATGGTGACTTTGTACAACTCATGAACTCTGTCTTCCCAGCCCTACAAATGGGACCAATGGGAATGGAATGTGCCCGCACAACTGACTTGAGGTCTCAGTGAAAGAGTACAAAATAGTACTAACGACTGGCCAGGGCCATAAACTGTTTAAAATGCCACTAACAGGTCTTCCTTGTCAAGTGCCTCAGTCAGAGACACATAGGGACTAATGGACATTGCAGTATGTGCACATGGCTGTAACCCAGTACTACGAAGTGACAGATCAGGACCTGGGCTTCACAAGTCTGAGCAACAAGGCAGTGCAATTACCAGAACATCTACTGAGGGGTCTAGACCAGGGGCAGGCTGGAGGTAACACCGGACACCATTTGTTACGTGGTGTTCTAGATTCTGTTCCAAGCAGGCCATGTGTAACCAATGGCAGGAATGAAGTTCCATGGAGGCAGGCCAGGCAAATTCACCTCTGTGGTGTCCCGAGGCCACCGTCAAGGACAAGCCTCTAGGGAAAGCTGAGGAGGGAGTAAGGAGAACTCAGCAACATCAGGTTCTGGGAAGACCTAGAGGGGCCTGAGGCTTTGAGGACCGTTAGAAGAGGTGACGGTGTGCAGGTTGCCAAGGGCAAGTGAGGACTCACTGTCGAAGTTCTGCCTTCACAGCACTGGATACTCGGGGGTAGCAGACCGAGAAGAGGCCGCAGGCCGAGGTGCGGGAGGTGAACCAGTCTCCACCCGCCAGCCGCTTCACCAGAGGCACAAAATGAGCCTCCAGGTCGGAAGGTGAGTGCTCGTGTGAGATGGCCCGTAAGGATTCTACCGCCTTGTCTCGCACCACTGTCTCTTCCACCGTGGCCAGTGACTCCAGGGGTGGCTGTGATTAGAAGGCAGGTTAGAAGACAGTGTTTTCCCTACTGTCAGCTTTGGTACCCTACCTCATGGCCTGATCTCCCCACCCCATCTTCATCACAAGCACCCCATGAGGATCCCTGAAAGACCCTCACTGGGTCCATGAACCAATCAATTCTCCAGGAGGCCCACGTGTGCAGCTCTCAATGTACAATAATCACTGCTGATGCTGGCTTCAAAATCCCTGTACCAGGATGTAGGCACCACCACTGTATTGCTCACATATTTGTCACTCCTTTATACTGTCCTCATTAATCAACGAGCAGGAATCTGAAGTACATGGGCTATGTAATTTGCCTAAGCTGCTAACAGCCACAAGCCAAGATCTGAAAGACCATTTGGCTCTCCTTCCATACACAACAGGTCCTGTCAGTACTGGGTCCTCTCTGTGCTCCCGGCCGTCACCCAACAGAGATACACAGACGTATGGTATGGTAGGGTAGGGTAGGGCCTGGCACGATCAGGCAAACAATCTTGAAAACCCAGCTCTGCTACTTACTAGCTACGAGTCCCTCCTGGCACTCTAGGTGACTCATGTGTCAGATATACCTTCCTACCCAACCACGACAACCACAGCATCTAACTGTGAGTACTTACTACACACAAATGGTGTGTGAGGGAATCGAAGTCAGTTATCAGGGTGGGCTTCAGTGGCTTCAATTTACAGAGGCAGACAAAGGTTAGCACTCTTGAAAGTCTTATCAATAAGTTGTAGAACACTGCCTGACCCCAAGCCTACAACCCTACGAGTGGGGTGCCAGCTGGCCCTAGTATGGGTAAGTATACAGAATGCATGGTAACTGTAGATTAAATGCCACGAATGACTAGACATAAGTGACACTCAAAGCCCATCCATTCCGAGGTGATCTCCAGCCTTCCTAATTCCTCTCCTTCTTGGTCCCCAATGGCAGAACCACAGTTTTGACCCAAAGGTAAAAAAGAGGATTAGGGGACCTCCCAACTTTCACTCACCAGCAGGCAGTGCACATACTCAGGTCCTCCCACCAAAGTGGTGAAGGTTCCCAGTTGTTCGGCCAAGGCCAAGAGGACCTCATCTTCATCATAGATGGTGTCTGTGGGACAAACACCAAGTCCATCAAAGACTCAAGCCAAACTAGTAACCTCAGCTTCAAACAAGCAAACAGCCCTCTGCCTCCTCACTGTCAGCACCCTGATCTCCCTACCCATCACCCTCTACCTGGAGAGCAGAGTGAGCCCAGTCCCACAACCACCTTTTCTGGGCTGGATTAGATGGAGAGTGGCAGCTGAGTGGCAGGCACCACGACTCTGAGCCCCAGCTTTGGCTTCCTCTCAAGGGGGCAAACACAACCATGTTTATGCAGCACAGGATGTGCAACTGAACTTCTGGCTGCGTTCAGCTTAAACACAGAGCACTGCTTTCAGGAACTCCTAAGTCTTCAGCCGGGAAATTCTTTTCTACCTTTACAGGGTTGGTTTAGCCACTGCTGCTTGCAGGTTTTCCAAGAAGCCGCTAGACTAAGTCAGATCCTTTCCTGAACTCATTCTCTCCCCCTACTTCCACCTTTACCAAGTACCCTATCATGAGCTATGGTCACTTGCAGCCAAGACTTGCTTTCACATGCTCCAGTTCCTGCCAGAGTTGGAGTAGCATGTGCTTAAATCAGTCTGTTAAAAAATGAGTGACCCAAAACGGGAGCTTCTGCTTCCACCACACAGGTGAGTAGGGACATGTCTCATGTCACTGCAGACCCCCTGTCTTTCTGACTCTGGCTGCTATTTCCTGCACAGAGTAGCTGTGGTATGTCGTATCCTGCTGCCAGTCCCTACCCTGGGTCTTACACTACCAATTCCAACCCTTGTTTTTCTTTGTGTGCTGGGACAAATGGGCCTAGATTTGGTGACAATCAATACAAGTTACTTTTTTCAGAATTCCGGAGACAGAGATGGAAGAATCTGAGTGAGATAAGGGTGCTAATGTTGTTAGGGTCTGGTGAGAGCCTTTCTCCTCCTGAGTTTCAGAGAACTATGTCTTCCTTGCACAGGAGGGGGTGAGGAGGAAGGGAGAGGTTTTGTGTTTTTTCTTATAAGGATACTAGCTTTGTCATAAGAGTTCCATTCTGTTTTTCATATATGTGAAATGTCATTGTATTTCATATTCACTACTGAAGTAAAGACTACCATTGGAAAAAAAAAAAAAATGAGTGACCAAGCAACAGGGAAACTGCCTGCTCTGCCCAACTCAAGGGCCTCTCTCAGGTTCCACCTCTCCTGAGGGAAATGCTGGCTGTTCCCACAATGTGCAGTCACTGACTATTCACCAGCATTTTAACATTCTCCACTTTGGACTTGCCATGAGGAAGCCAAGCAGAGTGGCTCAGGAGAAACCTTGACCTCACAGTTCGAGCTTCTAGAACTACAAAAACACAGCTGATGAAGATGCCCAGTCTGAGGCCTTTGTCCCTAGTAAACTAACAGAATTCAGTGATTTTCCCTAAAAAAAAAAAAAAAAAAAAAAGAGCTGAACGTTCTGTCGGTAATGAGATTAGAGGCCTTTAGCTTGTGCTCTCTAAAACACAATCACTGTCCTGCACATGCGTCTGCTGCTTACTGTTCTGAACACTTTCTGAGCCCAGAGCAGAAGAAATCTGACATTACTTAGATTTCCAACAGCTCAAAAATAAAGCTGTCTGAATCACAGTTTCTTTTTAATCTTTGGTCTCCCGCACTTTCCGGCTCCCACAGTTTTTCCCATCTGGATTATTAAAATGCCACATGCAATTTTCAAATAATACATCTGAGTAGTTATTTTCCAAGCTTAGTGAATTGTCATTGTCCCGTTATGTGATTTGTGACACTGCGAGGAAGGACAACAGCAAGGCAGGCCCGAACCGGGCCACCTGACTACAGAGCCTTTGCTCTCAGATATTACCTTGCTGGCAGGCTTGCTGCCTCTGTGCCTCCCCTCACACCCCCTCCATATATCCACACGATGATCCTAAATCTCACCCCCTTTGTGCTCCAGCAGCTAGCCACAATGGCACCTTGCCCATCTACAGAATTAAACCTCAGAGGCTCCATATGGTACAGAAGGCCAGCAAAAGGCAACCCATTATAACCTACGTGACTCTCTGGGTGCCCCTAATCCTGATGGCATTGTCATCCCACTTCCATTCACTAGTCACTCACACTGGTCATTCTCATTAACTGCGCAGCTCCCTCCTCAAAGAATCGCCTACATACAGCACTTACTCCACAGTTCTTATAGAACAGCCTTTCAACTAAGGAGCTGAGCCCAAGCTGGAGGGCATTCCAGGTTCTCAGCAGGGTAAAGCCACAGCAGCTTGTTTCAAAACCCAGGGATCATTGGCTTTTCTCTTGTACCATTTATTCATGTAACTGTTCTTCATGTCATCCTGCTGCCCCATAAGCTGCCTCTATCTCCGCATCCTAAAACCTTAGGGTATCTCGGATAGTTTGTCAAAGGAAGACCCTGGTTTGGGACCATCTGCTCATGCCAGATGCAGTATCTACTCTTCAGGCTGGGTGCACAGTCACACCTGCACACTTGGGTCATTAGCAGTGTCACTGTGGACAAGGCACTGAACCTCAACAGGCCTCAGCTCAGCTGCCCATGTACCAAACAGGGGAGAGCCAAGGGGCTTGGCCTTCTGCTTCTCCCAGGTCATCCACAGGAGATGATTCAATACAAATCACCCTGTTAGTAACAGAGCACTGAAAACCTTTAGTTCCAATTCTGACTAGAGGTGACTGTAGCAGGGGTGAAATGACAATAATGAGAGCAGGGATTTAGTAAGGTGGCCCACACTGTGCCAGCCATTGTACTGAGTATTTGATATGTACCTGCAGACAGTGGACTTGCTAAGAGTTAAGAGAGCCCCCCTGTTACAGCATCATGCCTATCTTACCCATGAACCCTCTGATGCAGGCAGATGTGAAATCAGATCACAGTTCTTCACAATTGGCTAACATTGCTCACTATGGAGTCTAAATATAAACTCTCTTAGGTCATCTCCAGACAGAAAAATCCCAGGGAAATGAGTTACTTCATCTTTCTGTGCCTTAGTTTCTTCATGTATAAATCAGCAACAGTAGCGCTCCTTGCTTTAGGGTGTTGCTATGAGACTGAGACAATGGCAGTGGAGATAGACATTTAGGAGTACAGGCACCATTATAAACACTGTGTGAGCTAAGAGCTAACTCAATACCACAAAACAAGGCCTGAGGAGCGAGCTGGTATGTGACAACTATGTAATAAATATTAATGATTATTTTTCTTTAATGCTCACACCAACTATAGAGTGTGGAGAAGATTATCTTCATTTTAGATATGGAAAAAAATCTAAGAAACTTATCTAAAGTCAATGCTACTGTTGAAGCTGTGATTTATAAACTAGGTTCTAGTGCTCCATCATTCCAGATGATTTCCTCAGAGGACTGACTGCATTTAGGCTCCTCTGGAGTACTGCCCCATGCTACCACAGTGGCACAGGGAAGACTTATTAATTTATTAATCTACAGTGAGACTTCTCACTCAATAGCAAGAAGCACCCAACTGTCCTCACTGCATTTGGGCCCCGGAAATCCTTACCTGTAAGGAAGGGCAGGAGCTCACTTCTGGTCCGTTCAACCCCAAGGGCCAAGGCGATGGTGGAGAGCTTCTTGATACTATTGAGGCGAAGCTAATGAAAGGACAAGCAAAGGAGAGGAGAACCTTTAGGAATTTTGGACCCACATGAGTTCCACAGTTCTGAAACCATTAGGTCAATACCCAGACTTCATACTCTTCATGAAGATGCTCAATGATCCACAGTAGGTAACAGTAAAATACAACCAAGCAACTCCATGTTCCTGAAAAAAATACAGCAATGGAAGCCAGCACCTCCCCTGGGTCTTTCCAATTTTAGTCTAAAATGAACTCCACTCCCCTACCATTACTGAAGAGAACACTTGGGAGGTGGCAGCAGGAGGAAGCAGGAGAATCAGAAGTTCAAGGTCACCCTTAACTACATACCAAGTTCCAGGCCAGCCTCAGCTGCAACAATGCCTTACTAGAGCTCCTATAAGCCACCCTAATTAGGATGACTGTATGTAGGAGGACTATGGGAAAAAGGGGATCAGTGGGATTGGCAGGGTACAGAGAGGATTATGATCGAAATGCATCATGTAGATGCAGGAGAATATCATAATGAAGCCACTATTATGTAGAATTAATATATGCTAGAACAACAACAACAACAACAAAAAGCAAGACTAGCATTAACAGTGCTAATCCCTCTAGTTCAGTGGGGCTGACCCACAAAATGAAGGTTTATTTCTTGTCTCTATGTAAACATGTGTTTTTGCTTATTGTTTTTGGCTTGTAGCTTCCCTCTCACATAGGTCATAACAGCCAGAAGAATGTCTCTTGCCCAAAGCTAGTCACAGAAAGGCTCATCTTCCCCTGCCTTCCTGTACTACAGTTTATCTGTAAAAGGAATCGAGAAAGAGCTATCAATCTGTCAATCCTGTCCGTATCCCGGCCGGGTGAGGTTTCCCCAAAGGGTTTATCCTGACCATCAACTATAAATACCATTTCAGAAGGGGTCCCATCCTATACCCTAGAAGGAGGAATGCTGCAGAGGCCAAGAAGAATGCTGAAACCTTTCTAGGTTTTCCTTAACCAGTCCACTACCAAATAGGGTATGTGGGAACCCTGATTTACAGCCAGCTGATAAAGAGGCACAGGTAAAAGACCTGGGGCTTACAACTGGCATCTGAAGGTCGGGAGACAGTCTTAGGGATGAGACCTCAACTGTGAGATCTGACACTCACCAAGTGAGACAGCATCCCAACTGAACTAGGTTACAGAACACTGGCTGGTGGGTGCTGCTGCAGAATGGAATGCTTGTTTGTTATCAGGGAAATCATGCACCATTTAGGATCACAGAACTCTTTTGACTGTGGTGTGAGAGCCCAGGAAAAGCAAGCGTTTTGTTCTTCCAATGCACAGCATATGGGAGACACAAATCAGTCCTAACCTCTTGTACTTGAGAATGTGAAAGAGCATCTTTGCTAGTAGTATGTTTCATCTTAAGATGAAACCATCCGCTATTCAGAGTTGGTCCTAGACCCTCTGAGTATCCTTATAAGCAACAGAAATGGAGAAGACATATTTGCAGAAGACAGGGTCATGTAAAAATGGAGGAAGATACTCAGGTGGCATATGTACAAAGCCAAGAACACGAAGAATTGTCAATGGCTCCCTGAACTTAGAAGAGATATGAGGCAGACTTTCCTCGGAACCTCTGAAGAACTGCTGACAACTTGATTTCAGATTTTTGGCTTTCAGGACTTTTAGAGGATACATTTGTTGTTTTAACCCACCCTGTTTGTGGTGATTTACTCCATCAGTCTTAACAAATGACTGTCTGGCTAACACATACAACTGGTCTGTCTTGAAGTATTTACATGCTAGGTTCTCACTTGATAGGTTTCCCACTAGGGAAGAACATGTGTGACCATGCCTCCACTCCACAGAAACTTGAGGCTCAAATAAGAAAACACCTGCCTAGACTAGCCCTGAAAACTGACTATAACAACTTCCCTGTCTGTTTCTTCCTCTACACATGGTGCTTTTATTTTACCCAGGTCCAGAACTGTCCCAAGAATATAATAAGATAATGTGAAGAAGACAATGCTTGAGGGACACAAACCATCATCACACAGGGCAACACTCTTCCTGTAAGGAAAAAAAGAAAACAGAGGAGACTGAGGGAGAGCACTAGGGAGTGCTCTCTAGCTGTTCTCTTTTCAGGCCCCAGACAACTGGAAAGACGTCTACAAATAACTGTGATCCTGGACAAGTATGGTTCTCAAATAAGGGGATTGGGGGGGGGGGTGTCTCTGGGTGCACAGACTGAGAATCTGATAAAATGCTATGATGAAAACTGTGCCTGAGCACAACAGTACAAGCCTGTATCCCCAGTACTTGGGACGCTATGGCAGGAACATCATGTGTTCCAGGTCAGCCTGGTCTACAAAACAATGCTTTACCTCAAAAACAAAAACAAAAAAACAACTAACTTTTCATTCAATGTCACCAGGGCTTTTGGAGGAATGAAGGAACAAAGGAGGCCCTAAATCTCATTTCAGTAGTGAAAAGACGTCAGGATGAAGTACTACAAACCCAAAAAACTTATTTCCAGCCAAACTATAAAATGTGCAGAGATCTGCCGGTCGGGAGTGGTGCACACCTTTAATCCCAGCACTCGGAAGGCAGAGCCAGGTGAATCTCTGTGAGTTCAAGGCCAGTCAGGTCTACAGAGAGAGATCCAGGACAGTCACCAAAACTACACAGAGAAACCCTGTCTCGGAAAAAAAAAAAAAAAAAAATGTGCAGAGATCTATGAAAAGGTTAAAAAACCAAATACTGCAAACACTAACAATCCCTAGGTGCTGGCAGTAAGTCTGCAGGTGCTCAGTGCACTGCTGAGTACCCAGCAAAACTATTCTTTAAATTACCAGTAAACGTTCCTGGCCTCACAGTCACTGTCTCTGAATCACTCAACTTGTACTCACAGCACAACAGCAGCCATGGGAAAGAGACATTATGTAAACAAACTGGCATGGCTTATATTCCAGCAAAACTTTACCTGCAAAAGCTGGCAGTGGCTGGATATGGTCCAAAGCCTGTATTTTACTGACCTGTGATCTAGTTTTGATTTCAACATTCTTGCCTCAATTTTTAAAAATGAAATTCTACAGGAATGGCTGTCCTAGCAACCTGCTTCCTTTCCCCTTTGTGTTTAAGGTAGACAGATGTTTGTGCTCCTCTCCCAGATGGACTATGGGAAATGCATGGGCCAGGGCCACAACTGGTGAGCAGCAGCCCTAAGAGCAACGGATGGTATCAGGGAGCAACTGCAATCACATTCATAATCTTAATGTTAGTATTAATAGCATAGAACATCTATAGATTGCTCCCTGTATGCTCAGCCAGTTTATTAACAAAGTCGGCATTGTGCTTTGAGGTCTTGTTCTGGAAACACCATTTTAAAAGGCAAGGATGATGATGCAAAGAAGCAGGCACTTTATGGAAAGCAATGAATCCCCAACCAGAACCTAAGCATTCTGACTATTCACCCTGTCATTGCAGAAATAAGAGTTGGGATCCTGAGTACCAAGCTTCCTCCCCAGTTATGGGCAGCTGTTCTTCCACTCTAATTTGATTTTGTTAACAATGTCCATTGTTTTCTTCAGGAAGATGGCACTATGAATGCTAGAGAAACGAGGCAGAAAGCTGTGTGTAGCCATGTGGCCTGAATTCAAAGCTACGCTGTTATCAATCAGCAAGACCTTAGGTCATCTTCACCCAGTGAGACTGATGACAGACTTCTGATCTCCAGAACCATAAATAAAACTATATGTTGTTTTATACTGTTAAGTTTACGGAATGTGTTACAAAAGTCTAACAAAACTGACACACTGACCTAAGCTAATCAAGTTCCTTATTGTCTCTGCAAGGACATTTCATCCAACAGCTTCCGTCAATCTGAGCACTAATGTCTTACGTAAGATTTCTCCACCCCTCAACTGGAACCATGTATAACAGCATTCCTGACTTCTACTCACTAAAAGCAGCAACAATCTCCCAGTTATGACAAATGACAACCAAAACATCCCTAGACATTGCTCAACATCCCTGGTGGCAAAAATCGCTTCAAGATGGAAAATGCAGTCATTGCATATAGTCCCTCTTTCTATAAGCCTTCTCCCCAACTTCTCAAACACTGCATCCTGGAATCTCGACTGGCCCAATTCCTCACCCAACTGTTTAGCTGTTATGCACTCTGCCCAGAATCTCACAGCTCTCCCCTTGACCACAAGCAGGTATTGGCTCCAATTTCAACTTTTCAACAAGACTTCCCCCATACTTACTCTAATAATGTATCCTACATTCTTTATTTTTCTCCCTACTATTTTTCATAGTCAACCCAATATGTATTTGTCTGTCACCCCTCACTACATGGTAAATTCTTCCAAGGCCAGTTTTTGTCCTTTTTCTCCCAGCTGTACACAAGCATCTAGAGCACTGCTCAGAACACAAGCCCAACAAACAATTGCTGATTCATTATCTCAACACTGACAGGTCTCATTACTTCTTACAGGTGGTAGTCTATTTACTTCTGTTTACCTGCTTCACACCTAGCTCCTGAACAGCAACTAGCCTGTTTCTTTGTTGATACAGAGCGTCACTATGTAGACTAGGCTAGTCTTGAACCTGCCCCTGCCTCCTGAGTGCTGAGATTACACACGCGCCACCATACCTGGCTCTGGTCTCCGTTATGTTCCCAACAACATTCCTAATAACACCGCATGTGTTTACTGAACACATAAATTCACACAGCATCCCTAAGACCAGGCTGTTATTCCCATTTAAGAGAAGAGAAACACTGATTGCCGGTGTCAAACAGCAAGAAGTGCAAGGCCCAGGAATATTCAACAACTGCCTGTCAGGCATCGGAACCAGAATCATATACATTAAGGCTTAGAGGCTGGGCCCAGCCTCAGGTTACTCAGTGCACCACAAACAATTCCATACAGTAGGAGAAACAGAGTCTCCATAGAGCATGGTATCACAATAGCCACTCCCCCAAATAACAGCTAACATTTATGGAGCCTTTACAAGCAGCCAGTTCTATTTTACTACATTTCCTCAGCCACCGGGGTAAGCCAGGACTATTATTAGCCGGTATTTTGTGGAAAACGGAAGCCAGGGGCGATGAAATAATGTGCACACAAAGTCATCCTCAGGAGAGAGGATACGGCCTTGAGGTCTGACGTCTTTTTCAAAACCACAGCCGACCGACTCAAAAGGCCCTGGGTCACTCTTCTCCCACGAACCAGTTAACTCGCTTGGCAGTCCGGCCTGGGACCAGGTCGGGGAGCGGTGGGTCTGTCCACGTGACCTATCCCTGAATTAGGCCAGCTAAGTCTCAGGAGAGGGTACTTCCACGCCCTCCCTCCCTCCTTCAGGGAGCTACCCCAAAATACGAGGTGCGGGCCTCAGAGGAATGGATGGATGCCATGGCTCCAGTCTCCACTCGGCCCGGGTATGGAAAACACTAAAAGCAACGGGAAATGTACCCTGGTCCTCGGCACCCAGGAGGGCTTCCCCTACTCGGGCGGGCACGCGCCCCCGTCCACCTCCCCCAGGGGGCCATTCTGAGTCCGCCGCCAATCACTCGACCAGCAGGCGGCCGCAGGCTCCCCAGCCCATCTCGGGCCACCCAGGCGCAGATCCCGGGCGGCCGCGCGCACTCAGAAGGGACTCTCGAGGCTTGCCCTCCGCCGGGGACAAGACCCAATCAGGGGCGCCAGCTCATCGGATCCTGCCACCGGGGAAGATGAGACCTGGCTCCTGATTGGCCGCCGCCGCCTTCCGCCACTCCCGGAGAACCCGGAGCCACCTCGCCCGCATTCCGCGAACATCCCCGTCCCCGGTGTCCCCCACACTTTAACGGAAGGCTCCCCGCACCTGAACGTCTTCATTGCGG